TCCGATCTGACGTTTTTTGGTGACTGGAGAGAGGACGTGTGGGTAGGGGGTATGGGATGAGACGATGGTGAAAAAAGAATATGCCGCTGCACTTTGGCCACTCAATTACAGAGAAGATTGCATTTGGAAGGCCGCACTTACCATTGGTCTGCACTCAGGAGGCTCCGCGGAAAAATAGCGAGGTAATAAGTGCGGAAGGTGAATCTAGCTAGCCTTCGCATTCGGGGTAGGCCATGCATCCTATTTCACTTGTGAGGAATGAAAAGTATATATATGGACGCGGTTGGGCTTGTACAAGGCTTGCTGGAGTTGCGGCAAAACTCAGTGCTCTTATCCTCAAAGAAAATCTTCGGAATGAATAATTAGCCCCGAATGGGGATTAGTATCATAATGAAAAGGACTGATGTTAGCGCACCTATCTCAACCCCTTTCCATACTGTTCAAATCTTTCAAAGAGAAGTCAAAGTTCAAATTCAGTCCATGCCGATTGTAAGGCTGGGATAAAGACCGAAATGGGAGCCTACTGCGTCTCCCACAGTGGCTACCGCTCCTTCTCAGAAAAGGAGCCTCTTACGGTCTGGCTTTGTAGCCGAAATAAGTCACTCACATCTATTGGGGGTTCTAACTGACAGTCAAAAGCTCCTTTAAAAGGGCATAAAACAAGCGGAGTGGTGGCAAATATGCTGCTTACAGCGTTGACGTGCATGGAGTCGGATCTTGGATAGACATCTACCTGAACCCACCAAGCCTTCTACCCTCCAGAAAGGTAAATTGGTAGGACAAAAAAACTGACGGCGCAGTTCTGGGGGGGCATTTTGCACTTTTGTTGCTTCATTAGTTCCGGTTTACAAGTCTCACTCTGGTGAAACCTGTGAACTCTTGTGAAGCTGGAGCAAGCTCGTCAAGCCATCATGGTAAAACCTGTCAACTCGAGACAGGCTGTCTAGATGGGTCGACACGTCGATGGGAAGTCGATAAAGTGCAAAATGCCTACCCCCCCCCCCTTCCGTCGACAAAGAGCGCCTCCA